CGCGCAGGGGCGCGCCACTATCACTAGTATAATTAACCAGTTGAAGGAAGAACCCAAGTCCCAGCAATAATATGCAGACGTATGTACTTAGGTAGGTACTGTACATTCGGTTCTTCAATATATATATATATATATATATATATATATATATATATATATATATATATATATATATATATATATATATATATATATATATACACACACACTGTTCTGTAGCTGGCCGTACAATAAGTTATTATGTGGCCACTTTGAGTTACGATAATTACTATACTAATTTACAAGATTATGATAACTTCCTCATAAGTGATTTACATTATGGTAAGTATCATCTTGAATTATAGTAACTCATATATCGTAAATGTGTATTGTTATTATCGTAAATTGGTACAAACATTATCGTAAATCAAGGGAGCCATAGAATAAGTTATTCTGTGGCCAGCTGCAATAGCCTTACCGTGTGTGTATATATATATATATATTGAGATTTCGGTTCTTCAACATTGTGCATGCTTCGCCACGAAGTTTATTATTATTATTATTATTATTATTATTATTATTATTATTATTATTATTATTATTATTACTCACTCACTCGGATCCGTTTTGGTGATATACATGTTTGGGGTCACATATTCTAATACTACTTTCTGTGAAATTAGTTAAAATCTAAAAAATAGTTTGACTTTGACTGAAGGGCAAAGACATACGGGTTACATGATTCTCTGCTGTACATCGTGCTGCCTTGCTGAGCTAGGAACAAGGCTTTCGGATGTATAGCCAGCTGATCTTGATGTTTTTGTGTTGGCAAGTTTTCCCTTGCTGGTCTAGGAGAGCTTGTTCCTGGTGAGACGAGGCGAGGCGAGACCAATCTTGTGCTTGGGAAGAGGTGCTTGGGTGGGGACTCAGTCAGCTGCATCGCCGTCGCTGCACTACTGCTTCTCGTTTGCACTGCATGCATGCCTTTCATCCCGGTCCGTACCGTTCCACGGGCCACGGCGCCACGCGACGGAATTGGGGTCGATGCATGGGCCCCCAGCAATAACTGGCCTTCACCTGGGCTGTGGGCTCCGTTTCACGGACCCCTCGTGGGCCCGCCGCATGCCCGACGGAATCCCAATCAATCAATCAACCCACCGGCCACCGCGCAGACCATGAGCCCAGGCTGCCAACCTCACACCTGTCGCTGCCGTCCGTCCGGCTGTTTTTTTTCTTTCATTTCGCACCCTGCGTGACCTTGTAAATTACAAATTTACAATAAGAATATAAAACATATCATTTAAGGACACAATAAATTTTAAATTTAATCAAATATATAATAAACACGCATACTACATGTTTATGATATGTAATAAATATTACTAGACAAATCATATAATGTATATATTTTTATAACATATCTATTTGAAGATAGATGTTACATAATATCCTTTTATATAAATAGATACTCCCTCCATGTGAGAAAGAATGCAATTATGGGATCCGCGCCGGTCAAACTAGTCGAAGTTTAACTAAATTTATAGTAAATAATATGAGTATTTCTGTCTCTGAATAAATTTATGATAAAAATATATTCTATAACTAATCTAATGGTACTTATTTTATATCATGAATGTTAGTATTTTTTTATATAAATTTAGTCAAAGTTTAATCTGTTTGACTCCTCAAAATGCGAGAATTATATATTTTTTTGGACGGAGGGAGTATCAGTAATGCCCTCCTCACCTCGTAGTACTATTTAGCTCATCTTGAATTCATATGCTTTTTTCATAAAAATGTCCGAAGTAAAATCTATATACCATCAAGCATTGTGCAACTCTTCAAGAGTTGTTTTTCCCTCTCTCGATAATTTCTGGATCGAAAGAACGCATCCCCCTCTAAGTTTTAGAACATCTAACAAGTTATATTTAAGAACGTTAATAATCTAATGTGGGTTTTCAAAACCCTTGTTTCTAAGAAACGCTTGTTCGCTACAAAACAAAAATGAAATAAACATAGAAGGGTTTTACTTCTGGGTGCATATGCACGCGTTGACATCTCCGCTTACTCATCTTCTCTCTTCGTCCCCACACCACCTCTCCCCCATAGAGCTTCATATCTGGCTTGAGCATCATGGCCTTGTCGCCACCCACGACCCAAACTATCCATAATCACAGGATTTAGCATCTCGAGTGCCCCCCGCCTGCTATGCATTTCACCGGCTGCTGGTGGGTCGCCCCATGTGCCATTTTTTTTTTCCTCCTAACGACCACTACTAGCACGGTCTAACCATCCTCTCCTATGTGCCATTTTCTCCTCCTAACGACCACTATTAACACAGTCTAACCGCCCTCTCCCATGTGCCATTTTCTCCTCCTAACGACCACTACTAGCATAGTCTAACCGCCCTCCCCGATGACTCTTCTAAGCTTGGAAACCATGGAAATCCTTTCCAATCCCTGAACTCTCATGAAAATATGTGAAGTAAAAACTATACAATGAAACACTATGCAACTCTTCGAGAGTTTTTTCTCTCACAATACATTTCTTGATCAAAAGAACGTATCGCCCACTAAGTTTTAGAACAGCTAACCAATTATAGTTAAGCACGTTAATACTCTCGATTTCATGTGATGATTTAATGTGGGCTTCTAAACCCTTTGGTTTCTAAGAACGCCTCTTTGCTAAAAAAACACAAATGGAATAAACATATAAGGTCTTTACTTCTAGATGCATATGCACACGTTAACATCTTCGTCAAACTCATCTTCTCTCTTCTCCCCCACACCGTCTCTCCCCGATGTTCCCTAACCGCCGCTTCCTATCTAGCTTGGGCATCGCGGCTGTTGTTTACCACGACCCTAGTTGTCCCTAATCACAAGATCTAGCTTTCGAGTGCCCCCCCTTTCCGCCGCCTATCATCGGCTTTGGCGGGGTTGCTCTCATGTGCCAATTCTCCTCCTAACAACATCTCCGCTACTAGCACAGTCTAATCGGCCTCTCTAGCCGCCATGCTCCATCGATCTCCTCCGCCACCACCACCGCAAATTTGACGCTCTCCTTGATGACTCTTCTAAGCTTGGAGACCATGGAAAATGCCTTCCCCAATCCCTGAACTCTCTGGTGATGTCAGGATAATTCTTCCTCTTTTTCTTTTCTTGATCGTTTTTTTCTTGTCGTTTCTATGTGCATGTCCAAAGCTCAACGTGTGCACGCATAATTAAACATTTTCAACATATAAAGGTTTTACCTCGCACGGCCATTTTATTCACGAATTTATCCTTTTAGCATTTAGGGTGGTTGGCTACCCCAACTTGGCGCACTGTGCTACAGTTCCGTGCCAAAGTTTCGGCGCGTATTTGGTTCGTTGATGAACCTACGGCATACCACAGCCTCGTAATCACGTCCTAGTTCAATTTTTAATTTTTATGACAAAAGCTGCCGTAGGTGCAAACAAACGATTTGCTCGCTGCAGTCTTCGTGCGGCCACAACCACGGCGTGAACCAAACAGGGTCTTCTTGATGATTTCTAGGTTGATAAGTTTAGGTGATGCTAATTTATTATAAAAAAAAATATTGTTGGTTGATTAATAAACTCTGACCGAAACCAACGAATGAACTGAGTGCCTAACGTTGGAGGGGCAAAGCAGAAAATGTCCTTTTCCCATTAATGAACGCATGAAAAACAAATAGGAAAGTGAATCATTAAAAACAAATAGGAAAGTGAATCATTAAAAAATAAAAAATAAATAAAAAGTGAAAAAAAAGGAATGCAATTATTATTTCCACGCCTCTCGACGAGCCAAGGAGTGCGAGCAGCAATTAATTGCTACCTCAAGACAGAGTGAGAGGGTCTTCTCTTGGCTTTAACGCGCCACTCTTGCTCAATTCCCCAACGGAAGAGGAATAAGTTCTTCGCCCACTGCCGCAAGAAAGGCATCTCCTCTCCTCTCCTCTCCTCTCCTTCCCCCACTTCACCGCCGCCGGAAAAGCAGGTTCCATTCCATCCTTGTCTCCACTTGCCCGCGATTCCTCTCACCCTCGGGGGAGAGGTTCGCTCGGCTCCTCACTCACTCTGGTATATCGGCGGCGGCGCCCTCCACTCCACTCCGGTCCACTCCATGGTGATTTCCCTTCCCTTCTCCCTCTTTTTGCGCGCGCTTGAGGTGAATTCGCGTTTACGCCGATTGCTTTGCTCGGGGAGAATCCTCGCATCTCTTCTCGGCCCGCGTTTTGGGTCTCGTCTCTTGTCGAGAAAAACCGCACCTTTTCGTGAATTTGGTGCCGCTGGAATTTCGTGTGTTCTTGTGGCAACTGCTGGGTTCCGTAGATCTGCGTGGGGAAAGTTTCCGCAGAATTCGCGGCAGATGCGCCCGCGCGGAAATGCCTCCGTGTAATTTCATTCCCGTTTCTTGGAATTTGAGTGTTTGCCAGAATTAGGAGGTCAATTGATTCACTCGCTGCAGCTTTTCTCGGAGGAAATTCCTTATAATCCAGGCCATTTCTTCTTCTTCTTGCAGAACAGGACCTTGCGCTGGTGAATTCTCGAGCTGCCGCCGTCACATATGAGGAGCTGGAGGGTCGGGGAGAGCTCCAGCGTGTGGGTCAGCTTGGTCGCGGTGCCGACCAACCTCGCCATCGCAGCACTGGAATTCGCGCTCTGGAGCTCCGTCTGGTGCTTCCTGGCCATCTCCTCCACCAATTTCTGAGCGGGGATCTTCTTCTCTTCCCGTGCTACTACTATTGCCCGAGCACCGCGCCAAATCCGTGGAGCTGTCAGTGCAGTAGGCGACTGCTGTCGTGCCGGGGTAGTTGCGGCCAAGGGAACACGCCACCTTCTCCGAGTTGGAATTAGGTGCGGCCGTCCGCCTCAAAAGGCCTGGTTTGGTAGGAACTTTCGCTTGCCTACTCGCTGCCTGCTTCGGTGGTCCTCACTCGGTGATGGGGATTGCTGGAATTGGGGTTGGAAGGACGTTCTGATAGAATTGCTCGAGGGGTTTTCCAGTGTCCATTGGTTGAGGATGGAGGAGAGGGTATTGTCGGAGGCAGGCGCGAGGGGCGAGGACGACTTCAGGAGCTGCTGCGGGGACGAGGAAGAGTGGGAGGACACCGAGGAGTCGTTCACGGCCGGCGTCGCAAAGGGGGAGCTCGACGAGGCCTCGGTGCGCCTCTTCTTCAAGGGCGTGTCGAGCCCCGAGGCGGAGGGGAAGAAGCTGTCTGGGATCGGGGTCGTGATGGAGAGGTCCCCTGGTGTGCCTGTTCTCAAGGTGCAGAAGAAACTGGATTTCTATGTCGAGGAGCTGGTGGCTGAGCACCTGGCGCTCATGGATGGGCTGCTAGTCGCCCTACAGAATGGGATCAGGAAGATCTTTGCCTTCACCAATTCAGAGAAGCTCTACTTTCAGGTAAGAAATTGGTGAAGCTAATGCATCTGGTTTCAGTCAGCACAATGTTTGTAGCAACACTTTTTTTTATACATATTAAAATTTATATCGCCTTGTTGTTCTTCAAGCATATCAACAAAATCATGCACTTCATATCTGCAGATTTCGTAGGCTCAATTGTAACTCTAAATGACTGAAAATACGCCCTTTAGAAAATCTTGATTCCATATTGTAGTGGAGAGTGGCTGTGAACCAAGGCCTCAATGCCTCATTCAGCTTTCAATTGTGCATACCATTTTTATAAGCTCTTTTTTTTTTTTGGCAGCGAATAGAAACATTACTCTTAAGGTGGTTGAATTCTTGGCCTATAGTAGTTGTATTTTGATTTTTTCACCTCTGAGTGAATCCATATTGGTCAATTAACCATTCAAGTAGGCATAGCAGATAACTACCCCCAGCTGGCATGTTCAATGTCTAATTGGTTATATGTACACATATTGCATGTTGCTGGTTCAACATTGTATGTTGAGTCTTTACACTGGAAAACAAACTGAAATGAAATGAGACAGTCAAATGCTCGAATAGCGGAGAATATGCAGGGACTTGCAGCTGTACACACTCCATATATTTTTGTATATGTTTTCTGCAGTTTTATATGCTATTAAAACTTTTGGTCATAAAGCATAGATTGCTCGCTGACAATCATGCTATTTTGGTTCAACTGCCACATTTTCTTCCTGTTGTGTATATGTATCAAAATGAAATCTGTTCATCCTTTGATAACTCAACATGTCCTTTTTCTTGTCTTTTTTTTTTTGGTGCTGACAGATAGCAGAAGCTGAAATTCTTGAAGACCAGCTTTTGGTAGCTTTAGGACACAGGATTCTTGAACTGGTGGATAAGTTGGAAGACTTTGATTTGATATTGCTTCCTAGCTTTGAACTTGAGAGGCCCTTGCAGTTGGCCAAAGAAGCTATAGGCATCAGATATCTATCTCCCTATGAGGTTGCTACCTGCCCGATTTGCCGTGAGGAGAAACTAGGTTCTCAGATGATCAAGGCAGGTTGTTCGCACACATATTGCTATAATTGCCTGACTGGGTATGTTGAAGAGAAGCTGCTGACCTCAAAGCTTCCCATAAGGTGCCCACAATTAAGGTGTAAATATCTCATTTCCGCTAGTGAGTGTAAATCATTCCTTCCAGTTAGCAGCTATGATTCCCTGGAGAGAGTATTTGCAGAAGCTGGCACCTCAGAAATGGAAAGATTTTATTGTCCCTTTCCAAATTGTTCAGTGCTGTTAGACCTTAGTCAGCACTTCTCTAGGGCAAGTTCATCAAGCCAGTCAGAACTCAGTTGTATCGAGTGCCCGGAATGCCATAGAGATATATGTATCAACTGTGGAGTGCCATGGCACATCATGATGGGCTGTGATGAGTACCAGAGCTTGCCTGCTGAGGAAAGAGATGCTGGAGACTTATCTTTGCATCAGCTTGCACAAAACAATAGGTGGAGGCGTTGTCAAAGGTGCCGACGTATGATTGAACTAACACTGGGCTGCTTCCATATGACTTGCTGGTATGCTCTCTGTGTATATCTACATCCTCTGATGCATGTACTGTCTAAAGAAAACTAGTCAATTTATGCATAGAAGTGAGCTGTCCTGTTGTCTAAATCTAAAGTATCCAATTCCTGAACTGAGATAATCCAAATGCTAGTGATTAGTGACCCAGCAGAAAAGATGATTATCTTTTAAAAGTACAGTAAACATTCCTGATTTGCTTTGACTACTAATCCAATATTGATAGTTGTCCAAAATCAATGGAAATGTGTTAGGTAGTTATATTGTGTCAGTCCGCCATATTCTCACATCTCTGTGAAAGGCATGGTTGCTTGCATGAAAATGTTCATTTTCAGTTCAGATTGTGCAGTTGGGCTCCATAATTCTGGTTCCCAAAAACTACACTGCAATTTGTTGCATGATATAAGAAGCAATAAATCTTGTAGCTGATTGAGTATAGGACCATGATCATGTTTCTCTACACTAATATTCTGTTTGTATTGGGCATATCGGGATTCAGCCACGGTACTTCTTTTTAAGTAGCGAAGCATGTTTTGTGTTGCCGTCACACAGATGGCCATTGCCATTAAAACGCATGTACTAAAGATTGTTCATTCATAAATACATGTGCTACTCTTTATCTTGGTGCTAAACGTCACTTGTGCAGGTGTGGGCACGAGTTCTGCTACTCCTGCGGTGCTGACTACGCTAGTGGTGTACAAACATGCCAATGCGTGTTCTGGGACGATGAAGCCATGGAGGCCTCCACCGCTGAGCGATCCACCCAAGCAGCATCTGAGATATGGGCATGGGACACGTTTGACTGCATGCCGACCGCCGTGGAAGGGTACTCGGAGCAGGAAAGGGCGCAGCTGGTGCTCATCCAGAGGTTCCTCGCCGGGGGTTTTAGCCTGGGAGACAACCACAACCCCAACCCCTGCCAGTCGCCGCCGCGCTGCGCCGACTCGTACATCGTCGACACCATGAAGGACCTCCACCAGCTCCCGTGGCTCGAGCGGTTTGTGTCGGTGATCAGCGACCCCTACAACGATGACTACATCCAATGAGTGAAGAGAGACAGTTATAGATAGCAGTAAAGAAACGGCACATACGAGTTCTCCGTTCAGAATAATAATATGTTTCCATGCCCCTGTCGATAATTGACGCAGGGAAAATGATATGCTTTCGTCATAAATACACTGGTGTTGTTTCCCCATTGTATGGTAACCTTTGGTGTTAGTGCATCAGCAAAAGAGTTCTCCATTTACAGTCTCGGTTATATGACTGTCTATTTCTTTCAAGTGAGTAATATATATCTTTGAGCTTTCTGAAATCACTCGTTTTGAATCAATCTGCAGCATGAGCAACTGCCTATATGATACCTGTTGTTCATTCACATAAGAGGCATCATTATGTTCTGTTGACGAAGGTTTTATGTTCGTGAATAACATACAATATATTTGGTTTGCTGGGCGCCACAGTTTTCAACGTCAGATAGTTCCGAGCAACTGGTCTATTCGCAAAGATGCATGCAATCTTCAGAAATAAGAAGACAAAATAAATAAAAGGCTGTGGTGCCTCCATTATCCATACAAACTTTCTAGGATCCAACCAGTTATTGATCAAAATTGATCTCCTGTCCACTCAAACTTAAAGGTGATTTTTCACTACAGTTAGCTTGCATGGCGTGTCAATAGTACAGTACTGCAGTCCAATTGTACTTGAAGCAAAAGAACTACATGGATTAATTAGAATAAGCTGAACTGTTTAGTCTGATTAATCTAGACAGTTTTGCACATTGTATTGACTCCATGCCCTTGATGTGGAGTGACCACAGCAAGCTTGTTCTAGGATAAGAAGGCACTCTCATTGTCATTGGTAGAAAAGAGAAGAGCATGCAATGGTGAGGTGTCAGTCTTAGGGCTCGTTTGTTTCCTAGGGATTCATACCCTGAATTTATTCCTACCAAGATCGCTTTACTAATTTATATAACATCTCATCATCTCGAACAATTCCTGATGAATTTCACTCTAACCGAACGAGCCCTCACGGAGCAGTGAGCCTAGTGACTAGTGGCTCAACCCAGTCCTGTAATAGCCACAAACAAATTCATCTCCTTTGGGCCGCGAACTCCGCCGGCCTGCGATCTCCGCGGGCTGTAAACACTGTACTCCGAGGGCCGAGGCCCAGGCCAGATTGCTATCTCCAATGCTGCCAGCCTTGGGCAGTTCGTCCTTTCCGCTTTGCCCCGCTCTCCTCCTCTCCCCAGATTCTCTGGCGGGCGCCCGGCGCTGACCGCGTGGCTATGCTGTGCGGCACGGTCGCTCCGTCAGGGGGGACGGACGTAAGCGCGCTCCGCGGCATGGACGACGACGAGGTCTTCGCCCCACGCCAAGAGCATCGCCGCACCCTAGACATCCCGCCTCCGTCGTGCAGACGAACGTTGGCTGCCGACACTCACACAAGGTGTTCGACTATATGTCTCGACAGGTGACTTACAAAACTTCAATTTGGTTTCCATGATAACTACAAGTCTACAATTCCACAACTGCATTTGTTTAGTCCGACCAGCATTGTCAGGGGTGGACTCCTTCGGCAGATTTGAGGTGAATTTGTCTCTCTGTGATGCATATAGTAGCAACCATCTTGCATACATTTATGTAATTCAGTGTGATGGAATGCTTTCGTCTCACTGCCAAATGTTAGGTCCAATCTCAATCTGTATGTTCATTGGAGATAGCATAAATGGATGTAGAGAGGATAATGCTTCATTCCAATGGCAAGATATGTTCTTTGGCATTCTGGACTGCACACGAGGGTTCAGACAACTGGCATGATGAACCAGTTGGTTCATTGTAATCAATTCCAGAACAGGTTTCTAAATTTTAGCCAGATCATGCCCTAAACCACACCCATCCCAATTGATCTGCCAAATTCGTGAAACCACTAAAATATGTGGTAGCCATAGTATACCAACACACTGTAGCACCTTGCACTTGAGCTTTGAAGATTCAATGCCATTTCTATGCGCTTTGCACAGCAGTATAGAATTAGTGAAGTGCCATCCTGTGCCAATGAAAGGCCTACTTAATGATAACATATGCTCCACAATTCTCAGTCATACTGTGGATTTGTTTTACTGCTAGATATTATATACTCTCCTGACCTGCAATGTTAGACTTAAAGATGTCCTGTTTTGATGAAACCATCTGTGTTTTACCAACAAAAAAACCTGCTTTCAATATTTAATGCCACATGTTGATGCAGGCAACTCCATATTTTGAAAATTTTGATAAATCTTATCTTATGTTAGAACTTACAAAACTACTATTCTCTTTCTTGGTTTCCTCTATTTTGGGGAAATGACCTATCCTATTTGCCTGAGTTCCTTCTACCAACCCTGCCAAAATTCTCCAACTGGGAATATTGGTTTGCAGGCAACTGTTTGTATTTCAAGTAACGTGTTGCCATGTCATTTCTCTAATCAATCTGTTAATGCCCCCTATTACTGTTCCTTAGGTGCTACATAGGCAATGGGGCGCTGGTTGGAATATTTTGGCCTTCCTGCGGACAACAAAACCGGAGCAAAGGATAACGTAGGATAATCCACATTTGTCACACCCAATTTTAAGGATAAAATGGGATGCATAATCTTATGTGCGCCCAGAGATCAGTCACACACATAAGCCGACAAATTATAAATAGTATCATCACAAGTGTTTATTACATCACGTATAATAAGACAGAGTCTTCACATAAATGTAGCAGAAGTACAAAGAAAAATCTCTCGCAGAAGCTCCATATCACAGGGACGTCAATTGGTTGACTCCAAGTCTAGTAATTCTCAGGAAAGTCGTTATTACTATAGCCATCTGTTACCCATCCGGGATTTTTATCCAAATAATGAAAATAAACAAGCGTAAGTACGTGTCGTACTCAACAAGTGTAACATGGGGTTTATGAGGCTCAAAAGGCTTGACACAGGTTCAACAACATTCAACTTTTAATTGTCACAATTTTAGCATAAGAGTAGCAATAAGTTGTTTTAATCCCATAATAAACACATGATAAATGTAAACATGAACAATGAATAGCATAAACGGATAATTCTTAGTGTTCATCTATTCCATAAGGATTCCAAGGCCGCTCGTGATCGTGAGCACGACTGATATACTAGTTTTACACCCTGCAGAGGTTGTACACTTTCACTGTGAGTCGTGATACCCATATGCCCGGGTTAATTACTCTCAAAACACTTCCTAGGTGAGCAGACAAGGTTCATAATGAAGCCTTTCAAAGATTCGTCTAACAATTTAAGGCCATTAGATTCACTCGGCTAACCGATGTAGAGCCCCCCCGCCCGATGGCACATTGACGCGTAGCCTATACACATGGGGATAGAGGCGCACTATATCCGATTCGACAAGCTATTCTTACGCCAGTAAAGTTAACCTCTAACAAGTTTGAAAATGTCCTCATACTGAGATATGGCAGAGCTATGTAACCCTCACAGCTGTACTGTCAGTCCCGGATGATCACTTACAGATAAGTCCTTAGGGAGAGGAATCTGAAGCATTTAGAAAGTAGCTAAACACTCAAGCCTCCTGTTTTCAAGTTGCTAAAAAATCATGTTTTAATGTTTATTGCATATACCATTAGTCAAGTTACAAGGTCATGGTTTAGTTGAGCACTAGCAAAGCTACCCAATGCATATCCCATAGGAGACAAGGCATAAGTACAATTCTAGGAAATCCTTATCAAGGTGACACATGCAAATATGGATTGATTATTAAAGTGAATAGGTATTAAGGATGATCTCATGCTATACTTGCCTTGAACAAAGTGCTCCTGCTGATCCTGCTCGTCAAAGTTGTACTCTTTATCACCCACGAATTGCTCACCGTCTATACTCGATAATCACAGCAACATATAAGCATCTAGAAGCAATCATGCATAGCAAACAAAAGCTATAGATTAGAACAATACATCAATTAGCATAAAATCAAGATGAAAACTTTGTAAAAACAAATCTATGTCTCGCTACGAATACACAGACGTGAAGATCACGAAAATCGGAGCTAAAATAAAGAAGTTATGAATTAAACTAGATTTCCTTTATTAAAATAATAGATTAAATTTAACCTAGAATTTTAAAAGTTGAAAACATACTTAACAGTAGTATGAACATGTAGATTACGCAATTACAAATCTAACGCAACTTGAACGGATCAAATCGGAGCTAAAACGGAGATTTTATGGCTAAAACAAGATGAGTGGCACTTCTGTAAATAACTGGAACTTGATTTTAGAATTTAAATTAACAAAATTGGATTTTAAACTGAGCCAGGGACGGCGGGCATGATAAAGAAAAGTATAGGGGTTCTTTAGAAAAAGTGTAGGGATGGCGGGTTCTATACTAGAAAACTACAGGGGCTCTTTTGCAAAACATCCGGCCGAAGAGGTATCGGCGAATATCGGCTGTTGGATTAAGATCAAACGGCGCAGATCAGACGGGAGGGGGAAAGAGACGCCGGCGAGCTTCGACGGTGGCGCCATGGCCAGAGCGGGCGACACACATGGAATATGACCTCACGGCTAGACGAACCGAAGGCACCGGGAGATAGAGGAAGAAGCGACAAACTCACCAAGGCGATTTACTGTGGTGAAGACGACACGGAAAGTAGCGCTCAGTGACGGCAGCGGCGGTGATGGCGGCGGCGCTAGGGCTTGGCGTGGCGCGGCGTCTCGGCGAGGCGGCTGCGGCTCCGAAACTTGGGATGGGAGCGGCACGATGCGGGCACCCGGTATTTATGGCCGGGAGTAGCCTGGGGCGCAAGGCAAGGACGAGGCATGGCGCCGGTGGAGTCGGAAGCGGCACAGCGGAGTCCGACGCGGATACACGCGGGAGGAAGAAGGCGCCGCTGACGCGTGGGGCCGGCTGTCAGTGGCACAAGGCACGGGAGGAGAGAAGCGCGGCGCGGCTTGCTGGGCCGGTCTGCCAGTGCGGGCCGCGGGAGAGAGGAGCGCAGGCGACGCTATGGGGGATTGGGCTGCCTGCTGGGCCATCGTGGGAGAAGAGCGGAGGCGCGGCGGGAAAGCAGGCCGAGCGGGAGGAGCGGGAAGATGGGCCGAGCAGGGAAAGCTGGGCCGCTCGGGCCAAAAGAAGGAAAGGAAGATTTTTTTTTTCAATTTCATTTTCAAATCCAAATTCCAACCAAATTCAAATTCTTTTGCAAATTTTGATCAAACCAAAATAAATATGCACCAGCATGAATGCACAAACATGTACGTAGACCTTATATTTGGTTTTAATTTTAACAAAGTTTTTATTTTTCTAAATTTAAATGCTGACAAAATGCATAAATAAATTATTTTCTCCTATTTTAAAATCATGCAAATTTTAGGGTGTTACAACATTGCTGTAAACCTGCAAGCTAAACACTGAAGATCCAAAGCAAGGATTTTTTTTTCTGGCATGATGAAGTTGTAAATTCTTACTTTGTTGTGCCAAATCTGCACTTGTCCTAATGCATTGTGATACCTGTTCCATTATAGTCCAAAATGGCGTACAAATCCATCAGCAAATATCATACTGTGGGGCTTGGGATCAACTGCTGTCCGCATGGCTGAAGATTATATCTATGGATGATGGGTGTCATTAGGTACTAATTTTCTTGACATGGACGGATCATTCTCAACCTGCATCTCCATTCCGAGTCTTTCCAAAAGGCTTGATCTGGCACCTAACTGGAAACTGATATATGAAGGATACTTTTATCCATCCCATCTTTATATCATTTGACAATTATTGTTTGAAAGAAACTTATAGACCCCCTTTCTCATATTTTGTTGAATTGATTAGAGGTCCTAAACCCTAATTTAAGAACAAAGTTAACTTCTTAATGCTTTCTGTTGCATGAACATGTTGTCAACATAGTTATGTTTGCAGTATACATTTCATTTTGGAGATGAGCCATTATATTTTCTTGCTACTTGCTCACAAAAGATATGTCATAAATTTACCTGATTTGTTCATACGCCGTCATCACAATGAAGACTTTTTGGTATGTCCTTGTTTTTGCTGCATGGATGGTTGTCTTGTTACAATCTGGTTTCAGTTTCTTTTATTCCCATCCTTTTTTTTTCCATTTACTCTGATTGACATTATTGTTTTTATTTATTCTCTGATTGACATTACTGTTTTTGTTATTATATGCTTTTATTTATTTAGATTTAGAATAAGCTTCACCTCCTAGCTGGTTGTTGCATCTCATGTACTGCACTGGAAGACACATTGGCCTAACACTTCATAACCCTTCCCCTACAACCCTCATCAGTGATGTGTTCCTCATAGTTCAATGTCAGTCAATAACGTCTTCTCTCTGACAACAGATATTGGTTTCAGAATTATGACAGCCTCATGACAGATATGGCTTAAAAGGGGGTTGTGTCTGTCACCATATCAGCAAGCATAGCTGATGGGAGGATTTGTCTATACCCCTGAATGACAGGTGCAACTACACTGGAAACAAAAGGGCTATCAAATGTACTTACCAGGATTAGAAAAAAAAAATTCATTTACCAATATTGAGGATGTTCAGAATGAACAAGAGGGGGAGACACATGAAGAATCAGATAGTGCTTGTGATGCAACATGTTTTACATCTGATGAAGAAGATGAAATTAGAGAGATAAGAGTCAAGTACAAAGACAATTCTATCAAAAATGATGAGTGCAGAGATTCCAGTGGAGATGGCAGATGCAAGCAGTACTGCTCACTGTCCTCAGATAACCCAAGGTGGAAATGACCTTGATTTAGATCAGGATGCATCATATGATGAGGAAAGTGATGGTGTTTCAAATAGAAGGAAGTGCAGATATCAAATATTTAATAGCTGTGCTGAGATTCCTTTGCTGTGGACACATGTTTTAGAGGAAGGGATCAATTAAAGGATGCCATAGAAAGGTACACACTGAAGATGAAGGTAACTCAGATACGTCAAGAATGACAGAGAAAGGACTAGGGCTGTATGTAGGTGGAAAGGTTGTCCCTGGTTTCTGTATGCTTCATATATCTCAAGGTCTGATTGGTTTCAGATTGTCACATATGATCCCAACCATGCTTGCTGCCCAGAATTGAAAAATAAAAGATTATCAACAACTAGAATCTGTGAGAAGTATGAGAGTACTGTAAAGGCTAATCCATCCTGGAAGGCTAGAGCATTGAAGGAGACGGTACAAGATATTATGGGTATTATGGGTGTAGATGTATCAATCACAATAATTAAGAGAGTGAAGACAAAGGTAATGGATTCTCAGAGTGGTGAATACTCAAAATTATTTGACTATGCTCTTGAGCTGAAGAGAAGTAATCCTGGAACTAGTGTGCATATTGCCCTTGATCCAGAAGAAGATGACCATGTTTTTCAGTGAGTTTACATATGTTTTGATGCATGTCGAAGGGGTTCCTTAGATGGATGCAGGAGAGTTCTTGGGCTGTTGTGGAATATGAGAATAAACATTCGTGGGGTTTCTTGGTCATCTTCAGAAAGATACCAATATACCTATTGGCGCTCAGGATGGGTATTCATTACAGACCAACAAAAGGTAAGGGGACCAAATTTGTCATGTACTTTTTAACATGTATGCCACTGTTATCTTATAAATTGTGGAATAACATCCACTTCATTTATTTATGTAGGGCCTACTAAGTATTACTGATCAGCTATTTCCATTTGCTGTGCACAGAATGTGTGCTCGTCACATCTATGCTAACTGGAGGAAAAAGCATAGGCTATAGGAGTATCAAAAGAGGTTCGGGAAGATTGCAATGGCAGCAAATGAGATGTTATTTACTCCCTCCATTCCAAATTATAAGTCACTTTGACTTTTTTGGTTTATCTATTTTGCTATGTATCTAGACATATTATTATATCTAGATGCATAGCAAAATGGATGTACCAAAAAAGTCAAAGTGACTTATAATTTGGAACAGAGGGAGTAATCATTACAAGAACAAGCTTGCCATGAAAAATCCTGCGGGATGGGTAGATTTGGAGAGAACAGACCTTATACATTGGTGCGGAGCTTGGTTCAGGCCTGGATGAAACTGTGAATCAGTTGATAACAACATGAGTGAATCATTCAATAATTAGATTACTAAAGCAAGATTTAAGCCTATCATGATTATTTTAGAGGACATAAGGGTCCAAGTAACTAGAAGAATTCAAGAGAATAGGAGCAACAGTGAGAGGTGGATTATGACAATATGTCCCAATATCTTTAAGAAAGTTTAGAAAGATCAGGCATGGGACCCAATTTTGTCATGTCTTGTGAAATGGTGAAGCTGGATTTGAAGTGAGATAACAAATGGAGGTTCACTGTGGATCTGAAAAAGAGTACATGCTCTTGCAGATTTTGTCAAGTCTCTAGAATTCCATGTCAACATGCTTGTGCTGCTCTGTTCAAAAAGGCTGAAGAGCCTAACAATTACACACATATGTGTTTCTCAATTGAGAGCATGAGTCAGCCTGATCTGTATCTCCAAATCCTAAGCCATTGCCTCCTAGAGTGAAGAAAATGCCAGGGTGCCCACAAAAAAACAGAAGGAAAGATCCTTCAGAACCAGTGAAATTAGGCACCAAGTCATCAAAAGTTGATACCAAAATTAGATGTTGTCGATGCAAAAATATGGGTCACAATTCCAGGACAGGCTCTGTGAAAATGGTGTTTATGTATTTCTGAATTTCTCCCCTTATTATTGTAATGTATTGTTTCACATAAGTTGACACTAGCTTCTACTATATAACAGCAGGAGGACACGGGGTTACATAATCCATCACAAGTTGCCATTGAACCTGCACAATCCAAGCAATCTAAAAGGAAGCGTCCAACTACATCTCAAACCAAATATCGATCTAGCTTTAGCCTGGCTGCCTGGACATTATACTAGTGTTAGGAATTGTGTGACCAAGTAGATGAACACAATACATGATCAGTTGTCCTTAGTTCAATTCTTGCTGCTTTGCTGCTGCATTGGTGCGTTGCACCTTGTGGTGAGACTGCAGAGAAACAGACATTGTATTATCACAGTTCTGGACCCTCTTGCCACTCACTTTAAAGGCCAGCAAGCCAACAACATTAGAGTCTATGTTGTCATCTAAATCTTACAAGTACCTAGATACATTTTTAACTAGACAAGCCGGACATGCTCCTCCGACAGAACCACCGTCCACGTCGTCCCGAAATTTTGTGGACGTCCGATCTGCCGATCAACGGTCCAAAACGCTCGAAGCGGATTCCGTCGGAAGCAGCTTCTCCTGCTTTATCCGGCTTCTCAGCTGCTTCGTCTCGGCTTCCCTGGCTTCTCATCCGAATCCGGCCTGGCAAATATATACTTGGCCTTCCGCTTCTCGTTCCAGATTCTTCTCCCAACTTCCTCTCTCCCTCACCCGTCGGTCTCTCCCTCTCCCTCTCAATCTCCACGCGGACAGGGGCGGCGACGGCGCGGGCGGGCACGGCGGCTGCGGCCGGCCTCCTCCTCCTCCTCTTCCCCTGGCCTCGCGCCGTGCCGGCCGTGCCCGCACCGCCCGCTCACGGCGCGAGGCGCTGCCAGGCCGCGGGGCTGCGGTGCCCGTCCCCGGCCACGGCGCGGCGCAAGCGGGCGAGCCGGTGGCCGCAGGCGTGGCTGCCCCTCGGTGATGCCTCCTCCCTCTGCTCTGTGTGTGCTCGTGTGCTACAGGAAACCCTAGCTGTCCGTGCTGGAGGTCGCGGGCGCCCAGCGCCGACCCCACCCCTGGCGGTGGTGCCCTGCTTCCGCGTGGAGACGCTCGCCAACGACGGCAGCGGCGGCTGCGTGGACGACGAGGTAAGCTCCCAGCTCTCCTCTCTCTTGCCCTCACTTTCTCTATCTTGATGAAGCTCACATCTCGCAGCATAGACCCTGTTTGTGCAAATATGGCTCCAAACTGGCCCAGGGAAAAAAGTTCTGGGAGTTTGGCTCTGTTTAGCACGAGCTAATGCAACTGTTTTCAGTGCCTGATCTACGTGATTGTTTTCAATGTGTGCACAGATTGTGCTAAATCTCCTTTCTTTGGTGTGCAGTTGTATGCACTATGAAATACTTGGCTCCTCGCTTATTGATATGTTGAGTCTCAGTTTTCCAATGGAATCATTAGTTGGCACTATTTGTATGTTGTCTTCTAAGCACCTTACTTTCAGAGCTAAACTAACTGGTTATGGTCTTGCCTTCTCTCAGGACTACACTGAAGATTATACTTCCTGTATTAACAATTACATGCTTTAGTTTCCTTTCTCAGTTTTATCCTTTATGTTAGAAATGTGTTTGTTGATTTTCATGTCACTTACAGGTGTAATAGTTTATCTGTCATTCTACTCTACTGCTCCAGGCTTCTACAGGCAGATTTTGTGAAGTTATGGAAGAGCTCTTTTTTTTTGGCAACTAACTTCTCCCGTGCATGTGTCTTATGTATGAAACCGCTTGAGGCTTTCTTCAGCTGATAGCAGATGTCGCTTGGTAACCGGCTGTCCAAAGATTAATTTTCTTTACTGTTTTTTTTTATTTACTTCAGTATATGTGTCTTTGGTTGTAAATTTGGAGGTCTTTAATTTACTTGCTTACCTCATAATTCTGATTGCTATTTCTGCTTCCTCTCCAAAAATGATGTAGATCAAGGAATTTAGGGGTAAATGATCCAGAGCTGAATTTAACAGTTCCATAACAAGGCCATTTGTTCTCTCAATTGGAGCTCAGCCCCACATTTTTTTTCCAGATGCAGCTAGGCGCACACACTGAGGGCTTTAGTTGTATACCCACCTTTTATTTACTTCAATTTCTCCTCAGTTGCAGCCTCAAATAACTTGGAACAAATTAACAATGCCCAAGTTTTTGTGAATTTGGGAACAGCACTTTAGCTCCATAGGTCACTATCTTATTTATTTTTTAAAGATTCACACTGAGGGCTTTAGTTGTATACCCACCTTTTATTTACTTCTGTTTCTTCTCTATTGCAGCTTCAAAAAACTTGGAACAAATTAACGGTGCCCAGGTTTTTGTGAATTTAGGAACAGCACTTTAGCTACATAGGTTACTATTTTTTTTTTTAAAGATTTTGTTTAGGGTCTCTTTAGTTATATACCCACGGTTTACTAACTTCTGTTTCTTCTGAACTGCTGCTTGAAACTACCTGGAAATCATTAAATATGCCCAAGTTATGGTGAATTCGGGATCAAAACTTTTGCTACGTAAGTTACTATCTTTTCCCTTTTTTTTTCCAGATTTCCTTTTCGTTCTCTTTCTGGAGTAACGCACAAAAGCCTTTAGTCTTCAGTGCTTGAAATGCAAGGGTGATTTTGCGAATGTAAGGTCCGATAAAGCATTTCGATCATTATGGAGTAGTCATTCAGTTGTGTAAGTTGTTCCTATATGAGCTTCTACAAGTTTTCAAATTCCTGACCCATGCATCTAAGGTCTCATGATCCATGCAGTTCATACCAGCTTCTATATGACCTTCTGTGGGCATTTAGTTAGTGTTGTTTCATGCTTTAATCCTGACTGAACTGGTGTCGTTGTCCTGATCTTATCCTCAGTTCCTCTAAGCTCCCTTCGCTCACCGAACTTTTTTCACCTATTCTTACAATTTGAGTTCTGTTTCAAGCAAGAGATTAAATATTAGTTTACTATGCCTTTGCAGGAGTATTGATTTTTTGGTGCTATGGACAGTACTAAAAGACATGGATGTTCAGTACACCAAATTGCACAGTTTCTTCGCCAGGTAAAACTATTTTCCATTACATTTTACAGCAAGTAATGCGCCTGAACCATCTTCACAGTGGCCCGTTTGTTTTAGCTTTTGGCTGTATTAGTCAGTCTTCATGTGTAACAAACTTAATAGTTATCTTCTGCATATGCAATGAATCTAACAGAGTCCATGCCTCCTTTCTTTTTAGTACAATAGTTTCGTGATATCAGAATAGTTTCCTTACAATCAATCTATGCTGCTTAAACAGATGGTTCAAGCATCACCTGTGCTGCTCCATTTCCAGGAGAAAAATTGGTCAAGTTGCTGCAGTTATCCGTTCTCTCTTCATCATTTGTTATATCGTAACCCCCCTGCCAAGTTGCCACAAATATTTGTCCAGCACATGCACACATGTTACTGTTTGCGCTTTCTCGCATGTGCGCACAATCCCTAAAAATTGTAGCAACATAACATCCCAACTTAACAGCCCGCTTACCGCTCCTTATTCCCCAATTTCTAAAGGAGTTACAGTCTTCTGGCATTTGTACTAAAACAAGCTAAGAAACCCATTTTTTTTGTTACGCATGGTTGTTGCCATTCTTCAGATTACTCCCTGGGGAATAGGAGTGCTTTGCCGGCTCGAAGACGCAGACGATGCAACTCAGCTGATGCTCAGTGCTATCACAGATGAATAGCCTATTTGATTGCATGTCTCAAAGGTGTGGAGGCTCATCTGTCTCAACATCTTCTTTAGCTGGTTTCAGAGTCTAGCGTTGCCAAAGTCAATCTGCCTAATTTGGTTCACCTGTAAAATCGGCAACTTATGTAGTGGCAATTTCGTTCCTAACTTCTCGCGATTATCATTCGCTAGAGTTAGCCATGTCACAGACGAACGAATCCTCTTTAATAGTCTGCTTTGGTCAGAAAATAACATTTCACTTTATAATCGTTGCAGCCTTGAAAGGAAAATGTCTACGTGTGATCCACCTCTTTTTACTTTGTTTTAAATCTCTGTGCTAAGTTTCTAGATCTGAATTAGTAGGGACAGCTGCAGTATGCTGTATTGAACTGTGCTGACCTTCATTGGGCTAACACATCAAGCCGGCTAAACCTTGATCATTTTGTTTTTTTATCCCGTCATTCAGGTCCTTGTTCTATCGGTTTCGTTTCCCTGCCATGGAGTTTGACAGTGGGAGCATAATGAAGCTCTCCTATCTGAAGGCGTGACGAAACACAATGCTCTCCTATCTGAATGTATGAGGAGACACATTAAGTCAGTGGTTGTGGTTTGTGCAGTTCACGCTTCACAGTTCACATACTCATGCACCACGATGACACTTCTGTCTGCAAAGTGATTTGAAATTTCATCTGTTACTTGGCATTTGCAGCTTTCCGGTGTCCATTTGACAACCTGGAAGTCATTGGTCAGGATCACAGGGCTCATGGCAGAGATTCATCAGAAAAAGAAGGTTAGTATGTCTGCTTATTTATGTAGTTACTGCCAGTTAGACTACCCACTTCTAGGCCATATTTGAGTTATCATGTCGATTTACTTAGGCCATACCCTTCATTTAGTGGAAAATTTAGATAAAGTGTTATGCTCTCAGAGTGTTTTTTTATTCTTCTGAGAGCGAACTACATCACTGTACATGACATGCAGTTTTGTTTAAAGCTTAAATGGACTAATAGCCTGTCATACGATGCTGATTCATATGAGATAATTTGATAGGTTAGCTATCTTATATCTCCAAACGAGCTAATTCATATGAGGCTAACTAACTGAACCATAGGGACGATAAAGAAACTGAGCTGCACCTGTTGTTCACAACGTCCGATCAACTTCATGTGTGATGACATGCATTGCCTTATGTTCCAAATTTATAAAGAAAACAACCTAAAATAACAATAGGTTCCCCATTAAGATCAGCAGCCAAACACAGACATTAGAACGAAATAATGGTAAACCAACATAGGCTAAAACATCAAAGACTTATTTTAGGATGTCTCCTATGCTGTTACAGTTTCACCTGTTTGGAAAACTGCAAGTCCATAGAGACATCACATTTGGTTTAGAGACACAGGCCATAAGCAATAATAGGGTCCAAAGGCAACAGTGAGTCCTGTTCATACTACTGTTGCCCTCTAAAGGTAAAAAAAGGGAATAAAAAGATGATATCTAACTGAACCTGACCATAGAAGTGTGAATAGGCGCATGCAGTTGTCAGTCAACAACAATAGGAAGAGTACCTAACCTGACATAGCCTGCTGCAATGGATAATTACTTCTTATCTGTGTATTCCTTCACAACCAAAGGATATACTTTAGCCCTTGCTACAAATAATGTTCCTTTGCCCATATGATTTGTTTGGAAAAAATTCCCCATTCAGTTAGTTGCACACATTCGCTACATTCAATTTTAGTCAACTTCCTTTGCTTTTCATACATTTTTCTCGAAATTTATGGAACATCTATGCTCTGTGCATGAGTAATGCTTGGCTACAGTTTTCAAATTTGCTGTATGTGCTCCCAATTTGGATTATTGCAAAGGATGGTATTTCTCAGTGCATTCCATTGTGCCTAACTACAAGAGATCAGATGATGCCATTTTTTTTCCCTTTCTGAAGCCACTCTTATTCACTAAATTCCTGCTATTTTTCCATTGTATTGAGTTATAGGTTCAATTGGTCATTTTGTTCTTCTTTCAGTACAGGATCTGTAATTCTGATAGTTTGCTCTGTGCTGCATTTCGACGGCTTTCTTCCTCTCCGTGCACTCATGCACTCATTTCCACAGGTTACCAAATAGGCTACTATGAAAATTCAGGTCAGTCATCATTTCCACAAAACATTAGGACTGCTACATTATATCCACAGAAGTATAACATGCTGCGACAATTGCACAGGATCATCCGTTCATATACAAATTACAGAGGCAGGGCAACATCTTCAAAGGATCCTCCGACAGAAACTACTCATAGGCCCTCCCTAACTGGGACCCCAAAATAGGTAAATACATGGTGCCTGCTCAGTTTTCATGTACAGGTCTTGTAGTTATTAGTCTACAAGCTACTTTTCATGTACAGGTCTTGTAATTATTAGTCTACAAGCTACTTATCCAAAGCTACCCAAAGAAAACCATTTACTAATTCTGAAACCAGTTAATGACAGCCACATTTTACTGACTTTGTTCCTCCAATTATTCCATCAGCATAGCAAAAAATTTCTCTAGGTTCAATATATACCGTCCCCATGCATGTACCAGATTTTAGGAACTTCTTCGTTTGCTATAGACATGCTGCTGTATACCTATCATCTATTGATTAAACCAAATTTTTTTCCTCTTACCAGGTGCTGCAACCGAACAAGACGTCCACAGCATCGTTTTGTGACCCTTGCGTGGACGGTTTTCACAAAATTTTCATGCAGAATGGTTCCAGTCAGTGTCTGCTTTGTTAATCGGTGAAAAGTGTATGAACTTTACCAGACCTTTACATACGGCATGAGAATTATACGTTCAAAAACCTGAGCTTATTCCCTTACCGGCGCGCGCGAAGGCGCGCGGCCTTCACTAGTTATTACATAAATGGCATAACATGTCTTCTTGCAGAGAACTACCCAATCACTTTGGTTTATTGAAGAACTGAAGGCTGAGCATTTCATTTGAAGTTGATTTGAAGAACCTGGGAGCCACAGTCTACTTTGTCTGAAGAAAGCAGCCATCATCGCTGTTATCCTGAAATTACATGCTGGGAACCACATCAGCGACTATGCTTAATTGTCTGTATCTATTTAGCTAAGTTGAAGGGACTAGTGTAATGCACTATGTTACAATATTACGTCCTGTCACAGAGGGCAAAGTGTTGGCAACAATGTTCTCTGAAGCTTTTCAAAATTGGTACCTCAAATCTGCTGCCAGCAGCACATTGCTACAAAATGATTCTATTTGCACGAGCGTGGGAGCGTGACATGATATGTCTAGTTTGTATCAATAGCTAAGAAGTTTACAGAAGCTATGAAAACTGAAATATGTTGCAAAGATTTTGTAAGACTGAGCAACCAATAATGTGACCATCAGTTGTAGAAGACGCTGCTAGTCATATCGAAGTTTAGCATCGTGAGGACTGTAAGCTTCAAGGTGTTCTCTCTGAATTTTTGCCGCCCGCCACCTTACAGCCCTCAAACCCTTTTCTACAAGTGCCGATGATTGAATCCCCTCTCGAAACCCTAGACCCCCAGGTGGCTCTTCTCTTCTTCCACACCAGCGGCGCGCTTCTTCTTCTCTTCTTCCACACCAGTGGCGTGCGGATGGGTCGTGCGAGAGCGTGAAGGCGTGACACATCGTATGTTTGAGTTTGCATTTCTTCAACTGAATCGTGAAGTTCGAGATTGAAACTTTTTGATGCTCTTTAAAAAAAACAAATTTTTGATTTTTTTTGAGAAACAAAAAACAACTTTTTGATGCAAACAGGGTTCAGAAAAATCCCCAATACGAACAGGGTTTAGAAAATCCCCAACACTTTTTATAGGAAAATCCCCACCAAATTTAATGCGTTTTTTGAGGATACAAATTTGATTTGTTAACCTTTATTAGGATTCCATAACCGATTTGTTTGGGCCCTTGATGGATCTGATCCTCCAGGGCCTTCCATGACCCGATTTTTGGGCCCTTGATGCAGCTGATCCAACGGCTCAGCTAAAACCCTATACCCTTGACTCTGCACCCCGACTCGTCCCCAGACGCCAACAGTTCCTCCGCGCCCGCCGCCGCCGCCGCCGCCGTGCCCGCCCCCGCCTCCGCCTCCGCGCCCGCGCCCGCGCCCGCGCCCCCGCCCCCGCGCCCCGCCGCCGCCGCCGCCTCCGTGCCCGCGCCCGCGCCCATCTCTCTCCCGTCCGGCGGGTTCCCCTACTACGAGTCTCCGACAAGGCGACAACAGATCCACGACTTGGGGGGCTAGGGAGGCAGGCCGGACGCCAAGATGAAGCCACCACCAAGTGAGCAAGCTTCTGGTTCTGCATCTGCCTCATCCGCCTCCAAGCGCCGCCTCTTCCTGGAGCCACCCCCGCCGGTGAACAGCAGCACCCTCGCGCCTTTTCCAACGGCAGGTAAAGATGTGTGAATTAGTGTATGTTTCATTTATTGGCAAAGATGTTAGATGTGTGAATCACTACATGGGATTGCTTGTTGTTAGGGATGAAACTAACAGATGAATATTGTCCCCTTGTGTTTTATTGCTTGTGTGTTAGATGAAACTATCAAACTAACAGATGCATGAGTAAAAGTAATTGAGTAAGGTCCAATTGCTACTGTCATTTTGATTCCCAAATGAATGTTTTTGTTTGGCCATGTTAATATAAATGTACAGCCATGTAAAAAAAAATCAGATATTGTCTTATTGGTGTCTTTGATTCATACTGGTGTCTTAGATTCATATTGATGTGTTCTATTCTTGTCTTGGCAGGATCTAAGAGGTCAAGTGAAAGCCCTGGTAAAGATCTTGGTATATGTCTGTCTGTATCATCTGCAAGTGCAACTCCTGCATCTAGTCCAAGTCAAGGTGGCAGTGCTGCTGGCGGTGGCAGTGGTTCAGGTTCAGGTGGTGCTGGTGGCAGTGGTGCTGCCGTTGCAAGTGACATACGTGCTGCTGGTGCGAGTGATATAGGTGCTGCTGTTGCAAGTGACATAGGTGCTACTGGTGCAAGTGATAGAGGTCTTGTTGCTGCTGGAACAAGTACTGCAAATGCAATCATCGTTGAGGGTGATGAGCCTGTGCAAGAGGGAGATGTACCTTGTGGAAAGAGGCACGAGTCGTCCCCAGACGCTGCCCCCTCCCCCGCGCCCCGCCGCCGCCTCCGTGCCCGCGCCCGCGCCCATCTCTCTCCCGTCTCCGGCCCTCCCACCACCGCACCAACACCTCCACCTGTGATGCCGCAGCTCCACTTTTCTTCCTCGTCTTCCGTAGCTCCCCACCGCGGAACCGCTGCCAGCGCCCCAGCCCCCACAGCCGCGCTTAACCCATCTTCTCGCGACGCCCCGCCTTACACCGCCCAACCGGCCTTCTCCAGCTCCCGGTCGGTGGAGACAAGACAACCCAGCCTTCCACCAGCGCCCGATATCGCTGTTCTGCGGCCGCCACCGCCATGGACTCTCCCTGTAAGTCGGCCGCTGATAAATCGATCCCCACCGCCACGGCTACCTGCTCCAGACCCTCGCCACTGTCGATTTGGTCCATGATCTATCCCATCTCTGACGGGATCAATCAGGGTAGCTCCTCCACCGACAGCAGCACCGCCACCACCTGTCAATTGGCCCCTGTTGATCCCGAGTCCGTCCCCGACGGCATCGAGCTGTGCAATTGGGCCACCGCTGTCAGCGCCACTCACGCAAGTGCATATACGTCAAGGGGCCTCAAGGTTAATTTTTTGTTTCCAATTGAGGGGGCATGTTGGCTCTCCACACACGCTATGAGGAGATGTCTGATCCATGTGCCACACGTCCCATCAAAATTTTGTGCGAGGTGATTTACAGTCATTACCAACTGTTCCTCCTCCGTGTGTAGTACAGCCATCAACTCCCCGAGAGATTTCTTCGTCTTTAGCTCCCCTTATATGGGGGAAGATGTCAGTGTCCACAGGATTCCTAAGTTTCTGCCGAAGAGCTCGGCTGTGTCACAGTTGTTTGGCCTGCTCCGCGACCAGAGTGATTGTGACAAGTATGTTGTTGCCAACCTTGAGATGCTCAACCCAAAGAAGGGATATGTTGAAGTCCTTCTTCACAGGTGGTGGCCCTCATCTGAGTCTTGGTCGTCCAGGTTTTTGGAAAAGGTCACTCTGCCATCTATCATTGACATGCGAAAATGGCAAACCGACCAGGTTATTGCCTACCACAAAGACCTGGTGTGGGCTGACCTCAAGCAAGGCATTCTTTTTTGCTTCAAAAATCCTTTGGAGAAGGACACCGAGCTCAGAATTATCTATCTTCCACGCATTCCACACATGAAAAGCGTGCGACGACCAGAGACATTCATGAGTGTTGGGTGCTGCAATGGCAAGCTGAAGTTTGTCCACCTTGATATCAGTGATTTTTTCTGAAGTTGTCACCATCATGACATTCAGTGAGTCGTCCTACAAAAAGGAGGAGCTATGCTGGTACAAAACTTCCCGAATTTACTTGAACTGTACAGATCTCTGGGCAAACATGCCCTTGAACTTGGAGGTGTCAGAATACCACATGCCGTGCTTCCCAGTTCTGCACACAGACAAAGACAATATCCTCTACCTCACCATTTCTAAAAAGGATAAGGATAACAAGCGTGCATGGCTGCTCCAAGTTGACATGAAGGCTAGAAAGGATAGCAAGGGTGCAAGTCCACACCAGGTTGACACAGAGTCCGATACCAGCACGGAATTCGACACACAGTTTAGCACAGACTCGGACACCAGCACCGAATCCAGCATGGAGTACTGGGCTCTAGTGGGTGTTATTGATTACCTAGGCTTTTGCCGCCATCAGAAACCTCCATTGATTCTACTTCAGGACTGACTTCTCTTGGTTAGGAATAACTTAGGATTTGACACCAATCTACTATGTGTTACCCACGGTGAGTATAAAATCTTGAGTTTCCACTCTAGTTGATGTTGAATACTGAAATCCTCCATTTGGGCATGTGTGTTCGCCCACTCATGTAGCTAGCATAGCTTGTTTTCACCTATTTGAACCACAATTTGACAAGCACTTGTAAACTTCAGGATTGGCTTCTCTTCTTTGGTTACCTGGAGTCCATGGCTCTGGTGGGCGCTACTGATTACCTGGGCTTTTGCCACCATCAGAAATCTCCTTACTCCATCGACTGCTTCTGATTGAATGTACTTCAGGATTGTCTTCTCTTCTTTGGTTACGAATAGCTAAGGATTTGACACCAATCTACTATGTGTTACCCATGGTGAGTATTGAAATCTTTAATTTTCACTCTACTTAATGTTGAATCTTGAAATCCTCTGTTTGGGCATGTGTGTTCACGCATTCATGCAGCTAGCATTGCTTGTTTTCACTGTAATACAATATTGGAACCACAATTTGGTCATTCCTTGTAAACCTTGCTTTCCCTCTTAATTGAACAGCAGAGATTTTGCCTTTTCTCTTCCAAAAAATCACAAAATTAATTGACAAATAATGCTAGAGGAATCAAATATAAATCAATATAAATAGGATGAGATGCACCCCTCCATGATCCAATCCAACTGTTATATGTAAATTCCCAACGATGTGATGAGAATCCACATAATAAACTATTGAGTGCAGTAGAATATGCTATGTGCATTTTAGTAGAAGTAATAACGAAGAAAGAAGGTATGATGTGTTCTTGGATCATTTAACTATAGTTCTAGAGATTCTGTCCAGTATATCAAATAGGACGAACTATACTACATAATGTGAAACAATTGGAATATGCAGGAAATTTGATTGTAGCTGACACAAAACCTTGCATTAAAAAAAAGTAAAACTATGTCCCAATTGAGTATATCTTGATATGAAAAGGAACAAATCGTACCTGAAAAGCTGGCGCAATCCGTCAAGGTGGTTTGTGATGATAGAGCATGAGAGATGAAATAAAATTGGAGGTGTAAAAACTAGATAAGGTAGGACTTAGAGATTATTCAAATTAGAGAAATATATTGTGCCTTAAAGCTAGCCAAATCTGAGTCATTGTGGGACAGTAATAGTTATGGATGTTCTGTGCTTCCTATAGCACTATGATTGTGATTATTTTCACAATTGATAATTGTGCAATAGACAAAAGATGCATCATGTGATAACTAAAAAGCTTGGTAAGAAAATAAATGACTGGAAATATATAGTAGGAAATATGACAAATAATCAAAGGGGAAAATTGCTTTGGATCAACCAAAAAAATGTAAACAAGCAAGTTCTTTGAAAAAGACTTGTCAATAATATCGGAAGTATTATCCTCAAGAACAAAATGTAGTTAAAACTGTATAAAGCGTAAACATGTCATATTTTCAAAAAAACATCGCTTTGTATAAAGGTACTGTGACAAATGCTTATATATAGTTCTTGCTTGTTTTCTCTTGTAGACCCAACAGGGATGGATTGGATGCTGCAGACTGCAATAGGCGGCACTAGCGAAGACCCATCCTTGATCATATAACTGATTCTTCAAACTAATCCGATAGGATGGAACTGGCGGATGCATGAGGCGTGGGGAGGTCTTGGCATGAACCTCACTGCACTAAGCAATATGTAAGAGTGGAATATTTCAGATTTATGCAAAAATTGCAATGTTATATGTGCTCTTGTAAAAAAGATAAAGACAATAATGAGATATGTGCTTGAAATTCTGTATCTGATTATCTGCACAGACGAACAACGGCCCTGTTAGAGATGGTTTAGTCCACAAGAAGCCCCATCAATATATCTCCTCTCCACAAGAGCTATATATGAGCAATATATCTCCTCTCTATCATCGCTATATATATGAGCAATATATCTCCTCTCTCCACCATCGCTATATATATGTATCAAATATTTATCCTCTCCATCACGCTATATATGATCAATATATATCCTCTCTATCACTGATATATATATATATATATGATCGATATATATCTCCTCCACCATCGCTATATATATGATCAATGTATCTCCTCCGCATCATCGCTATATATATGAACAATCTCTCTCCTCTCCATCATCGATTTATATGTATGCCTTGTTTCTCTGTCCTGCATCAGCTGAACAAGCAGCTTAACTCGTCGTCCGGCTGGATGATGAACCTGTCCTACCCATGACGAACACATGGACTCTGCTTAATTGGTCTCTCCATGCAGGTTGATCATGCAAGGCTCAAACACAAGGGAATTGAATGAACATTTGCCTAGCTAAGTTTATACATACAAGACAAAGAAAGAAATTACCTGGAGCAAGGGCCTGCCAGCTTCTCCGTCAATGCTGTGCTAGCTCGCTCTTAGGCAAAAACCTTGGAACAGGCATACAGCGGTTATGACTTCTGAGAAATGTAGTCACCCAGGTGTAGTCACACAGGTTATCACATCCGCGCTGGCAACACCAACCCACGGCATATACAAAGCAGGCCCACGTCATCAGGAGTGACATCAAACCCGGAATAAAATAAATGGGATGAGACATAAGTTAGTTCAAATTAAGCCAGGCTACGTCTTGTCAAGCATTTTATTTTATATTAACAACGAAGCATCGAGCCCTTGTCCTTGTTGTCAAGCGATTGCGAATAAACAACAAACCAAGTCGTTGTCAAAAAAAAACCCCAAGTCGGCAACAATTGTCTCAAAATATTCACCGCGATAGAAAACAAAAACTAAAATTCAAAAGGTTACAAAACAAAAACCCTTGCAGCAGGTTGGCCACGAAACAAACACGATACCTGTATAGACCCGGTCCCCTCTCTCTATATAAAATTAATTAATACCATACGGCAAGTCGGCAACGTGTAATATTTATTTTTACCAAAAACTAGAATTCAAAGTGAACGACGAATTGCGACAAGCGAAAGCCCGCAAGAAATCGCGCGCGGGGTGGTTGGAAGTTTACCTGAACCTCTGCTTATTGGCTGTTTCGTTTTTCTTGTACATATAAAATACATCTCTTGTCTTCCTATGAAAGTTTAATTTCTACTCTTCTTCCCTAGGCTTGGATTTTTTTCTTTCTGTCTCTGTCCTACGGAATTTTGAATTTTTTATTAAGCAGGCAGCCAAGGAAGGCGGTAGGAGCCAGAGCCAGAGACAGAGCTTGAAACCTTCGCTGGTGCTTCTTCGGTATCCTTGGAGTTTGGTTGGGCATCTGATTCTGGTTTCGATCTTCTCCCTCCTCCGGCTGCCATGATCCATGATGGCCTGGCTCATCTCATCTCTCAGTTGAAAGCATGAGTTCTTTACCTCCCCTTGCCGATGGATAGGCGGCAGGCTTTTGGAAGATGTCGGATACGCCTGTTTGTCCACAGGATCACCGGCTCAGGTGAATGAACCACTCACCGGTCTTGTCGAGTATCCGCTAGTGTTGCCGAGCACTCACTAGCCGTGCCGACCACGAACAAGCGTTGTTCGTCCCCCACACTATGGCTGGAGCTAGAAGAAAAAGGAAGAACAGAGCAAGCACACGCAATACAAGACACCAGCGTTGGCCGAAGCCCTGTCTGTGAGATGACAAATCTAAACTCTCTTTACTAAGTTGCCGTGGTATCCTATTTATATAACTCTATCATTCTAGTTCTAGTACAGTTGTCATGTTACTATAGGAACTAGATAACATACAGGGCTAACTCTGTGCCGGCCACTGCATGTGGCTACAGTGCTGCAGGTGAGCCGTGTGGCGTCTGCACCTGCAGCGGCTACAGTATCACAACAGGGGGCCTTTCCGACGCCGCCTACCCTTGCTGTGTTCACACAAGGTAACAATGGATTATCTAACAATCTTTCCTTAATCCTACTGCTAACCCTTGTACCCCCTCCATGCCGATCATCTCCTTCAGCTCCGTGAGTCGAAGACGTCCGAGCGACTTGGTGAGGACGTCCGCGAGTTGCCGACCAGTTTCGACGAACTCGATGACGATTTGCCCTCCATCAACACAGTCCCTGAGGAAGTGGAACTTTACGTCGATGTGTTTACTCCGGTCGTGCAGAACCGGATTCTTCGCGAGGGCGATGGCGGGCTGGTTGTCCACTATCAGTGCTAGTGGGTGAGCTTCCTCGCCGGTCAGCTCGCTCAACAGCCGGCGTAGCCACACAACTTGGCACACCGCTGTGGTCGCCACTACGTACTCTGCCTCGCACGTAGATAGCGCCACCACCTTTTGTTTCAGCGACAGCCATGAAATTGGAGCCGACCCGAGGAAGACGAGCACGCCAGATGTGCTCCGCCGTCCGTCGATGTCCCCCGCCATGTCTGCATCGCTGAAGACAGTGAGCTGCAGCCTACTTCCGCCGGTCTTGGGGAAAACGATCCCGTGATCCACCGTCCCCTTGATGTAGCGTAGTAGCCGCTTCACTGCAGCCCAGTGATCCACTCTGGGATCCTTCATGAAGCGACTGACGTAGCCCACGGCGAACGTGATGTCCGGCCTCGTGTGGACTAGGTAGCGTAGACCGCCGACGATGTTCTGGTAGAGTGTTGCATCCACCTTCGCCGCGGTACTGGCCTTCGTCAGCTTCAGCCGCTCCTCCATCGGAGTCACGCATAGTTTGCACTCAGCCATGCCGCTCCGCTCCAACAGCTTGGAGGCGTACGCGCTCTGACCGAGCGTGAGTGCCTCCCTCCCTTGTCTCACCTCAATGCCGAGGTAGTAGGTGAGTGCCCCGAGATCGCTCATTCGAAAACGAGCCGCCATCTCGCGCTTGAAGCTGCCGATGTCCTCTGTGCGCACGCCGGTGACGATCAAGTCGTCCACGTACACGCCGACGATGAGCTCCTCCTTCCCCCGTCGCCGCGTGTAGAGCGCGTGCTCAGTTGCGCACCTTTGAAACCCAAGCTCGCTTGAAAGATGGCGT